CCTGTAGGGGTCTGGAGGGTCCCTGCAGTGTGAAGGTGGCCTTAGAAGGGCTTATGTGGGTCTTGTAGGAGCTTGTAAGGGCCTTGGAGGGACCTTGCAATATGAGGGGGGCCTTGGAGGGCCTTGTGGGAGTGTACAGGAGCTTGTGGTGGGTCCTATAGGGACCTCCGGGGTTAGCCTGTAATGTGAGGGGGGGCTGGGGTGTGGTCTGCAATGTGAGGGGGGCCCTATAGGGACCTGTCGTGGGCCCTGGAGGGACTTGTGGAGGACCCTATAGGGGCCTGGGGTGGGCCCTGCAATGTGAAGGGGGCCTTATGAAGGCCCTGTAGGAACTTGTGGGTGCATATGGGGACCCTACAGCATGCAGGAGGGCCCTGTAGGGGCTACTGTGGTGACTGTAGCTGCTGCGAGGTGTCCACAGGAGCTTTGTAGGGGCTTCAGAGAAGGGTCAGCGGCGGGTACATAAGCGTATAGGGTCTATAGGGTTTGTGAGGTCTCTGCCCGACCCCAGGCAAAACTCATTTGGGTGAAATTTGTGCCTCCTGGAGTTGAAAATGAGGGAGGAAACAAGAAAAGATAAATGGCTTCTGATTCATTCACATCTGGAATTGCAAAGCATCTGCTCCCACCCGCCAGTTCCTGGGTCTTTCCCTGCTAGAAACCCTCTTGCTCAGCCCCTCTTTTCTCTATAAGGACTTTTTTTTCAGCTTTCAAGTTATTTTTCGTGGTCCTTTTCTGCAGCCTGTCCAGACTTCTGCCCACTTTGAATTTCTTAGGTGTTCCCCAGGAAGCAGTGATGGGATGTGTATGGGAGAAGGTGGAACAACCCCAAAACGTGAAGTCAAACATACCGATCTTGCTGTACGCACATAAAAATGAGCCAAAAACGCAGGAGTCTGTCTGTTTAGCAGCCCAGATTATCCCTCAGTGCTGAGTAAACTTGATTTTGTCAGAAAACCAATACAGACTAATCAATAACAGACTTCCAAGGGGCAGGGAAAAATATATGTAAACCATAAAAGGTGCGGAAAACACATCGGTCCGTTATTTGGAGAATTTAAAACTTGCACGTGCAGTTTTGTGCTGGAATAAATATACCCAAAAATGTATTAATTTCCCATTAATTTTAACTTTTCCACATCCCGGTGCAGCTCCAGCCCTCAGCGCTTTTGGAGGGGAGGCTATTAGGAATGCCAAAGCGTGCCTTGTAATGAGACTTTGGTGTTATTGCCTCTTCCAAAGCTGCAAATGCTCTTTTCTTCCTATGAATTTTCGTCAGTTACCCACTCCTGACAGCCTACGTGTTTCTTCTTTGCTTCCAAATCCCGTGAAACCTGCTTTTCCCCAGGCAGGGATGCCGAGGAGCGTGGCTTTCCTGTCCAGCCGTATTTATCTGCCGTGTTTTCCCCTCTGATCGCCGACTCCCCTTCGTCCCAGCCCCATGGGAGATGTTCCAGCCGAGCCGTTCACGCTGACGGAGTGTTTCTGCTGCAGGTTACGAGCTTCCCGGGTGCTGCTGGTGGGGATGAAGGGTCTCGGAGCAGAAGTGGCGAAGAATCTCATCTTGGCAGGAGTCAAAGGCTTGACCATGCTGGACCATCAGCAGGTGAGAAGCTTGCGGCTTTGGTTAGCAAAGCTCGCAAACCCCGGCTCCGCTGCGGTACGGTGTCAACAATGGAGGACTCGCTTGCTGCTTTTTGGGATAAATATTCTACTTGGGGTGGAATTAATTCCATTTTGGGGCACGTAGAGTTTGTGTCTCCAGTCGTTCGTGTGACAGCTAAGATCCAGGCTGCGCTCCTCCGCCCGTTCTCAAGCTGGGGGCTGCACCGCAGCCTCCCCTGTTGCTTTCTGGATGTCCTTGGGTGCTGCACCCCTCTCTGAGAAGCCAGCTTATTTTTGGGGACATATGGCTTTGGCGGTAGCAGCTCTCCACCCAGCCCCCTCCTGTCTATCTCAGTCGGGACAGCCCCTTCCCGTGTTTATCTGGGGCTGGCAGGTGTGTGTGAAGCAGATGTGGGGGTCAGAGCTTGTGTGAAGCAGATGTGGGGCGCAGAGCTCCTGCCGTGAGTCTCGTGGACCACGGAACCTCTAAACAGACTCTGGTGGGTTTTAATTCCTGATCCGGAGCTTTGTGCCCTGCGGCAAACATCGCTGGCTGAACGTATTTCTCACGCGAGCGCGGCCTCTAGGTCACGGCGCGGCGTCTCCTTGGGCGCAAGAGGGAGCTGCGAGCTCGGGAGCGGGGAGAAGCGAGCTACAAAGCTGCGAGGGATGGAAGAAAAGTGCAAAATAACCAGAGATTGATTTCTTCCCCCCTCCCCAGCTCCCCCCCACCCCGTTTATCTCGCGATGAGTTTTCCTGCGGCGAGGATGGCACTGCTTAGCTGTTCCCTTCCAGGCGTTAGTTCCTGCTTGCGCAGCACCCGTTGTAATTCTCCCTGGGGGCTTTTCCCACCCTGCCTGAGCCCGTGGGAAGACTCATTTCTCCGTTTTTCTCCCGGTTTAGGTTTCCCAGGAGGACACGAGAGCTCAATTCCTCATCCCCGTGGGTTCCTTGGGCCGCAACAGAGCTGAAGCCTCGCTGGAGCGGGCACAGAACCTTAATCCCATGGTGGATGTAAAAGCTGACCCTGAGAGCGTGGAGAGCAAGCCCGAAGAGTTCTTCACCCAGTTTGACGCAGTATGTGTGGCAGAGGGGGGAGAGAAAGGTCAGAGGAGAAGGGGCTTGCTGGCTGATTATTAAGTCTCCTCGCTAATTGCTCTTTTATTCTGATTGCCTTAGCGCTGAGAGCATCTATCCTTGAGCCACGGGCAGCCGCCTGCCTGTCGGCGTGAATTTTACAGGTTGAGCTGCCTGACTGTTCGCAAACGGCATCTGTTCCCCTTCTGGTCTCCTCCGTAGGTCGCGTCAGGCAGCGGCTTGCCTGCATTTTGATTTTATTTTTTTGGGTGTGATGGGGCCGGTAGTTTTAGGAACCGTAGCCGATGCAGCTTCCCAATTCAGTGTTCCTGCTGGACGGTGAAAAATCTGGGAGCAGCTCTGAAAGCGAGGGGGGGAGGAGGAACACATCCAGGTCTTGTAGCTCCCGTGGATCAGCTGCCTGCTCCTGCCTTCCCTGCCTGACTGCAGGGCGGCGGGAGCAGTTGAGTGGAACATAAAGCTTTGATTATAATAACGTGGCCCTGTGGGGAAGCTACCCCAGGGTACGTATCCTGCTCCGCTCCTGGGATAGACAGGCCCTGAGTTTTTAAAAATGTCCGTATTTTAGCTTCGTCCCCCCATTCCCACCGAAACTATCCGGAAACGGGATGCCGTATCCCCTAAACCTTCTAATTATCCCCGGAGCGGAAGCTGCTGGAATTAGCCTGTGTGACGGGAGGGGAAAATTGATAATTACCGCTGCCCCGGGAAGGCAGGGGGGTTTTCACACCCCACTAATAGCCCCGTGAGGAGGCTGAATGTTCAAATTTCTGCCTGCAGGTCTGCCTAACCTGCTGCTCCCGGGATGTTATGGTGAAGATCGACCAGATTTGCCACAAGAACAGCGTCAAGTTTTTCACCGGCGATGTTTTCGGCTACCACGGCTATATGTTTGCCGACCTCGGGGAACACGAATTTGTGGAGTGAGTCGGAGGGGGAGAGCGGGTGGATGAGAGGGGAAGGGCATCGGTGTTTTGGCTGCCTTCACCCATGCGGGGAGGCCGCCTGCTCTTGGGACCTTGGAGATTTTAAATCTTCTAAGAGTCATAAAGACTGTTTGCCGCTGAGCAGCACAAGCGGGGATCGTGGTTTCTCAAAAATGAGCTCAATTTTTTTTTTTTTTTCTCCTCCACAGAGAGAAAACCAAGGTCGCCAAAGTCAACCCGGGCGTGGAAGATGGGCCGGATACCAAAAAAGCCAAACTCGACTCATCAGAGACCACCATGGTGAAAAAGGTGAGTGGGAAAAAACCAAACCCTGTGGAGACCTCCGAGACCCAAAACCCGTGTCGGTTTGGCCGAGGGAGTGCTGGAGGGGGTTATCCAGGCAGCTGAGCTGTGTTTTAGCCGCGGCAGGATGGTTTCTGCCAGCTTCCCAGGTGAATTTTTTGCCGTCTCACTGCGCTGCTGTTGCCGGGTCATCCCAGAGAGGGTTGGTTTTTGGCGGGGGGGGGGGGGGGGGAGACGGTGCGGAATCAACAAACCAATCCAAAAAACATACACACTCCCCTTAAAACTCTGGGTGCTCCCAGCTCGCTGCTTGCTTTTTTTTTTTTTTTCCTTCCCTCTGCGGCTGTACTGGTATAAAGCACTTTTTATACTGGTTTTGGTGGGAGAAAGGGGAGTTGTTAACTGGGGGGAGGGCGCTCCGGCTTTTTCCGTGTCACCCGGACCATAAAAGCTGCATTGTTGCTGCTGTCAACTGATAGCAGAGCTCCCTTTAAGTGGGACTCCCGGCTCGGGGTGGAAAGGTTTTCCATGTCTTGGGGAGGGTAAAATCTGCTCCAAAGGAGAGGGAAAGAAAAAAAACCTGCTTTTTTTTCACATTTAAATGCCTCCGGCCTGGGCATTGTTTTGGTCTCCCAGCTGGAAATTTAACGGAGGAGTGGAAATCCCCTCGACTTTATCTGGCTATGAGGAGAATGCGAGCTGAGCCAGCAGATTAACGCCCTTTTGTGTCCCTTTTGCTCTTCCCCCCTCTCCTCCTCCTCCTCGCCTCGCTTAGAGGGTGCAGCTTCCCCTCGG